ACCCCCCCCTACCCCCCCCCCATTCATGTTTCAAAGTAAGCAAAAAAAGGAAAGCATTAAATCAAACAACAGAAATATTGTAATGCAAAAGACTACCCTAGCAAAATAATAACACACAGAATGGACAAACCCATATTTAATATTAATTATACAGAATTCCACAGAAATGCTAAGAAATATGGTAGTTGCACAGACAAAAAAAGTCTTGTGTAAAAGTAAGTAATTAAAAATCTACGTACTCCACATTTTAATTCAGCCATATCACCCTTATAAGAGAAACAATGCTGAACGTAAACTATGAATAAAACCTACCTCTAATCTTTGGTCATAGCCATAACTGGCATTGCGACTGAGATCAATCATCGCCAAAGCGCCGCTGGGAAATTTCATCGTTATAGCAACTGTATCAACATCATCCATTTCAGCAATGGCCTTGATGTGGGCGTGGCCTTGAGCATAGACAGAGACTGGATACTGGTGAAGAATCCAGCAGATAACATCGATGTCATGAACTGCACAGTCATGGAATATGCCTCCTACAAATTGCCAAAAAAATTTTAAATGGAAATTCTTTTGAGTTATAATAAATCTCTTTTTTCACTTGTTTGTCTAATTGTTAATATAGTTTCCATAAAATCTCTGTGCATGTGTGCACAGGGAGAGATCCAGAGAGATTTTCTGACAGTGTTCTAAATTAATTTTTTTGTTCCATCTTCAATTTTTGACCGTCTTCCAACAAAAAACTTATATACCATTAAAGGGATAATAACTCTTCGTTTCAGCCAAAAAATGAATTTTCCTGGAGTAAACAACAATTTTCCCATACTTACCAATGGTTAATGAATCCATTTTTACATTCAAAGTTAGTCCCTGGTTTTTTTCTAAAAAGTTTGTTTTTTTTGTTAAAATCTCTTAAGAGATTTTGACAGAGTATAGCCATCAATGGAGGTCACGTGGTCTAAAGACAAGCTCAGATATCAGAAAAAATACCTATAACTGCCGTTTTTGTGGTAAAACAGAATATATTATATTTCTATGAGTTATTCACAATGTTTTTATTGTGAAATATAGATCCCATACGAAGAGTTATTATTCCTTTAATGTAAACTTGAAAATCTGACCATCTTCCAGAAGACCCAGAAGATGGTCTCAATCCACCCCTGAGTGCATGAACGATTGGAGCAATATGCCAGGCAGTTTGGGTGTGAACGCACCAACCAATTAGTCACATGACTTAAAAGATTGTCCGAGGGATAATGATTTACCAGATATCTTCAGGTAGCTCATAGGTGGAAGAGGAGAATCTCGACTGCACATTTTAACCATGTGGATGTCACCGACATTCTGCTCCTCGATGCCATTAAGGACGCCTCTAATACTGGGGTCGTACCTCCTGCAAACAGAATCATAAACTTTTTTGGAATTTTCAGATTTTTTTTTTTTTTTTTTTTGGGGGGGGGTTGCTGATGCCATTTCATAATGAGGGACCTTCCCCCAGTTCAGTTGAATGTATAATGGAAACAATAAAAGATGTGTTATAGACAAGTGGACTGGTACTGACTTATCTAGGCTAGTTCTACGACTCCAGAAGCAGGCTCCAAAATTTCCCACTAGTATTCACTAAAGGGACTGCAGCTGCATATTTTCTACATGTACACATTTTCCATGCACAATAAGACATAACCATTACTTGCTGGTAGATGGAACCCAAAATGACCACAATTACGAAATCTATAAAAAAAGGCCTGAAATTACATACTTTAACATGCACATATAAATTAACTTCACACTAAATTTAATCTGGAAGGTTTGGCAAACTATTCTTTACGCACAAAAAACAAACAGGAGAAACATTAAAATTTAAAAACATAATATTTATTTTACAAAAAAAAAAGCATTTTACCATCCAAACACTTACCTGTTGAACGAGCAGAACAATGGTTTCCCAGCTTTTTCCGATTCTACGTAGCATGCCTCAGTTCCAGCAATATCTTGTGAAATTGGCTTTTCACAGAAAACACCTTTCCCTGGAAAAGTACAAAAAAATGAAACTAAAAGGGAAATTTTTATATATGTGTTACAGCAATCTCAGATTAATAGTATTTAATTCCTTATTAAGGGTATTGTAAGCCTTTATTTTCATCCAGATACCAAATATGAGTTTTTTCCTGCATCTAATTATTCAACATTGCATCAATCTTTCTGCTGATATAAAACAACACAAATCCCTTCGAAAATATAAAATATTGGCATTTATATTTTTTGTTGCAATGTATAGGCATATAGGCAACTCAAAGTTTTAATTTTTAACTTAACACCTTTCTATTTTAGGTGAGATGGCAATCAAAATGGGGCGTAACTTTATCCCTGAACAAGATTTTATTAGGAAAATTGGCATAGTTGACCACAAATGAATAAGCTACAACCCTGTGCTATCATTTTGGTCAAAGCACTTTTGTTATAGAGTTATGAGCCCTTAATTACAAATTTTTATTAAACAAAAGTATTATTTTGCTTTATCATTGATAAAATCTGAACTTTTGGAAAAAATCACTGGCTTGGTTTTGGAGTACTTAATGGTGTCATTAAATTGGCATCAAAATGGTGTCCATGGATGCTCTGGTAGAGGAGAAATTTGAGAAAATGATTTTTCAATTTTCCATTTTCAATCCCAAAATCGCAATTATGACGCCCCTGTAAGATGACACATGTATAATTGTTGATTAATTTAGTCTCTGAACACTAAAAATTTATCTGTCATCCAAAAGAATGTATGCAAGGCAGTAAATAAGGAGTTTTTGGCAAAGGCTAACAATATCCTTAAATCTGTTTGTTTCTAGTCAAACCAGACATACAAACCCACACACACAAACAGATACAAAAAATATATATTGCTCATGACTGTGACTGTTTTTCACAAAGCAGTTTGTAATAAATTTAGAGATGCAAGATTTCATAATGTCAGGGTAGCTCCTGGACCATCACTTAGAGGTAAACAAACAAAAAACTGATAATTTAATAGTGCAAAAAAGTAAATAAATAAATAAATCCAGCAACTAGCATACAATGGTACCATTCAAGCTTTCCTATAATACTAGTTGCACTCAACACATTAACAATATATGTTCTTGGTCAACTCTTGTTTTTTTTTCTGAAAATTAGTATAAGCTCATGCAAATGTGTCCCAACTACCCAGTATACCAAAAATACTTCTGGTCAATAATGGTATCATATTCTTAGAAATTAAATTATTATTTTGCTTTATTTTTAAATTAAAATTTACTCCAAATAAATTCAACAGCAAATGATCCGATGACTAACCCTTTCTCAGTGCATTCTGCACTATCTCCTGGTGCGTAAAAGTTGGGGAGCAGACAAATACTGCTCCAACGCTGTAAATATATACAAATTTAAAGCATGCCACAATACAATATGGTCCTGGCTGTTTCACAAATATCAAAGAATCGTTGGTTGATTATTTGACTTAGCTAAGATTGCCAACAATCACATATTGCCAACCAAATTGTTTCACAAAAAATATAAGAGGCTGATTATCTTCTTTTGATCAGTCCAAAAAATAAGAGCTAAGGCCAAATTACTGTGGTTCTGAGAGTCATTTCGATAGGAAGTGTAAAAATTTCAGAAACGTCTTTATGCCAGTGACATACTGAGGAAATGTTTTTCATGCCTCTAAATCTGATATCACAAGGTTGAAGTAATATACCGCACTATCCAAGTTAAGCATTCTTAGCTAATCACAAAAACATTTATCATTTTGTGAAACAGGCCCCTTAAGAAAACCAGATCCTAATCATCTCCGTGGTTCCACCTTACAATGTTATCAAGACTTTCAGAACAGGCCATCCCATTGGTTAGCTTAACATTGGTGCCAAGTTATGTTCCTCTATCAACCAACCAGAGGATAAGTTTCAATTGTCCAAGGGTTTTTTTTTTTTTCAATTTCATTTCCAACCTTTTCTCTGATTGGATCAAAACAAATTGGGATGGCCTGTACTCCAGATCAAAACAAATTGGGATGGCCTGTACTTCAGATTCTGATAGCAAAGGGAAGGGGAAATGAGAGTAATAAGAATCCAGTGTAACTTTCAGGTTGACCACAAAATGTATAGAAATAGGGTACAGAATATGTACTTTAATTAAGCTGTCACACACTATATGATGCCATGTAAAAATCAATAGAAGATTGTAATACATAAAAGATTATGTTAAACTTTTTTCTTTTACTTGTTTCATAATCTCCTCGGTGACATACAATAGCAAAATTTTTAGGGGAGGGTGGCAAAAAGGCTTTTCTCTAATGGTTTAACTTTCCTGTCTTTAGAAATTTTAATTTGAACATTCAGTGAAAAATGGTTTTGACTTTTTTTGTCTTTAGAACATTAAACTTAAAAGTTCTAATAAAAAATATGACCGTATGGACATTCAAATGATCCATAAATATCACCAAAAATTTCATGATCTGAACTCAAATCACAGTTATCAAGTTATGCTGGGCACCACAATATGATCACAAATTATTTAAAGTTTTTAAAACCTATCTCACATCTAACTAATAATAATAATAAAGGTTCTTTAACACTGATCTACTAAATGTGAATAAGATTCCTCTAAGCCATTCACATATAATAATATGTGATATTTCACACAAATAAATTTGAAAAAATGATCAAAAATTTGTTTAATTACAAACTACAAAACATAGATTTTCAACAATACAATTTGCAGTTCTTCGTCATAGAAATTGGAGAAACAATTGAAAACAAAGGGTGAAAAAAATCATAATTTACAGTGAAGGCAAAGTACATACACCCCTTACGTTTTCAAAATTCTTTTTTACAGCAATTTTATACATTCATTTTTTCCAAGATTTTTATTGTGAGTTTGTCAACATGGCAACTGAAAAACCCAAAGATACATTGTTTTTTTTTTTTTTTTTTTTTGTATTATTAGTGCTTTCATTATTCATACAGTTCAATGCAGGGAAGGTGCACATATGACAGCATTTGCTGCTTTGTGTTAAAGACAGAAATAATATCAAATAAGTCAGCAGAAACTGTCAAACATCTTGAATCATTCCAGCATCAAGACTGAAAAGGTAACAGCAGATGTCATTTTACACANGTATTATTAGTGCTTTCATTATTCATACAGTTCAATGCAGGGAAGGTGCACATATGACAGCATTTGCTGCTTTAAGTCTACTCTTTGCAAGTGTGGTTGGGGATATTTGATTTTGTGTTAAAGTCAGTGCTCTCAAAATGACAGAAATAATATCAAATAAGTCAGCAGAAACTGTCAAACATCTTGAATCATTCCAGCATCAAGACTGAAAAGGTAACAGCAGATGTCATTTTACACAAAACAGCCGCACCCCCCTAAAAAAAAGCTAAACAAGATTAAGAAGAAAGCTAGATAAATGAAGAAAAATACATCTTTAAAATCACATAAAAATTTACGACATATTTAAGAGAAATACTGAAGCATATTTTTGATTGGTTCCGTTTTTTTTTTTTTTTCATCCCTACTAATGACTCAAGCAACTTAAAAGCAAAACAAAGTACATCCTTTTTTTAAGATATCGTTGCCAAAAGGAAAAAGCAAAATTCATGCAATAAATAATAATTATCAACAAAAGATAATATCTCTCTCTTCAGCCAGTGTCAAATCAAGAAGGTAGGGAATACCTTTTGCGTTACACGTGATTGGCCTTATTTTTCGAGCGTGATGCGTTATTTTAGCCCAATATTCTGCGTGAAACATGATTCAGGAATTCTTGGTGATTGGTGATTGGCCTGAATATATCTTGGTGATTGGTGATTGAGCTGTTTAAATCTTGGAGATTGGTGATTAAGGGGGGGGGGGGTATTCCCTACCCTCTATCAACAGAGATAGCCAATTTACTTGTAAGTGAGGGCGACATATCAGACAAAATTGAAACTTGTGTGCAATTGAGTCCAGATTTACAGAACTACCGAAAATATAGACCTGTATGCAACAGAACCCACCTTTCATCGTTGTATACTTTTTCTGCCTCCTCAGGAGTAAGAGCAACAGTATGACGCTGGTGATACTGTATTAGCAACTGTTTGATCTTGGGGATATCGAGATCAATGATATACTTCAGCTGAACGCGGTAGCAGCGAATCAGGTTCAGGAAATGTATCATGCCAGCTCGTCCCAGACCGAATAAGGCAACGCCAAGAGGGTCTTTCATGCTGTGACACTCCATTTCGTCACTTACAGAAAGAGAAAAAAGAATAATAAAATTAATTCTTGAAATGTGAAGCCCCAGTTACACCATTATTGTGTTTACTTACTAGTACAGAACCAATTTTGACCACAACATGTAAGAAACGAAAAAGCTCTCTCACTTGGGAATATTTAAAGATCAGTAACACTGATGCATGGTTTTGATTTTGACTGTCTTATATTGTCAAAGTTTCAAAAATAAGGGGGGGGGAGTAGGCAAAAAATTATTTTCTAAGCTCTAATTGCAAGCCCAATGTCTGAAGTGTCACAGGGGCTTTAAAAACACAAATGCTAAAACCATAAATATCACCAACATGAACACACTACAGTACCAGCATATTAAAAAGTCAAATATGTTGTGAATTGATCTTGTGGAAAAATAACTTGGGATAAGATATAAAGTAATTGTAGATCTATGCAAATTACAAGCCATTTAAAGTATAAAACTGGATACAAGCAGCATTAAGGAAACCAAGAAGTTATAACTTCTTTATAACTTCTTGAGGAAACCATCATGCATTAACTTGCCATGGCTAATTAACATTCATGAAATTTTGATTGGTTTATATATGTATATATATATCCTCTTGAACTGAATATTCCTTATAAAATGTGTGTTTCTTACTTTTTTCCATGCACACTAATGTAAAGTAAGTATATGTATGAATTTGATCTCCATGAAATAAACTCTGTGTCTGTTATATGCTAGTACTTTTTATGCCACATTTAAACTATATAACAGGTACCTTAATTTGGATCCTGACGGGACTATCTTCCCCAGCACAATACAATGTGCCGATTTTTCACCTCCTGGTTTCACATAAAATGTTTGCCCAGGGTGACCAAATATGTCCACACTAAGATATACAGCCATATAGATAACTATAGTGTCCAAAATATTATATAATGCGGTCTGCAGTGACCAATGACACTGCCAAGGCTAAGTGCTACCTTGAAAAGGACAATGAGAAATTCTCTCGAATGTTAGAAAATGAGATCATACAGGGGGCTTTTGGTGTATGTGTTGGAGGCAAATTTCTACAATATCATTCTAAAGAAATTATTACTTACTAGCAATATGCCCAATTACATAATTTTCTTTGTGTTTATTATCATCACAGATAATGGAAATAAATCAAATTTACGAGATGCTTGCACTTATGTATTTTTTATATAAAAAGTCCTTTTTTGAGTGCCTAGCTTGTACATTGCTTTGTCTTCTGGACTGTGATCAAACTGACTGTCAAAACCCAGAAATTTAATTTTTAATTTTTAAAAAAACTCCAATTTGCCATCCAAATAATTAGTTTGTTTATGATAGCCAATAGGAGTACAGGGGCTCAGGACCAGAGGATTCAACTGCATTGAAATTATTTCAAGCGCATGTAGCTCAGAGACCTAAAATAGGGGAAATACATAAGACATTGAATTTCTGTCTATGTAAAACACACCTCTACTACCTGCATATTTCAATATACCTCTCTGTGTGGCTGATGTAAACCAGCATAACTGAAAACAATATGCCTGTCAAAACAGCTGACTCAGAGGTAGGTGGAATATGCTGGTAATAGGTAAGCTGCAGAATGGCGTGTGATGAGGCCAGAATGCTGCAGCCGGCTGGGTATAACTCAATTCTATTTAATACCATTTTATAACCATCTTTATTGGGCACTAAAATGTGTACAGGTTACATTTAACAGGCTCTCTACAGGGGCGGATCCACAGATATTTTCTGACCATCTTCCAAATTATCTTTGCTGATCCAGCCTCCATTTTTGACCGTCTTCTGACAGAAAAAATTAGATACTCGTACCTGTCAATGAAAACTTGAAAATCTGACCGTCTTCCGGAAGACCCAGAAGACAGCCTAAATCCCACCCTGCTCTACTCTACTTTTGGTTTTATAACATCTAGATATAAATACAAAATACATATGGAATTGATTACTAGTACTAGTACTGACATTACTGGGAAGAAGCACAAGATAAGACAACTAGTGATGGATGTATTGTTTTTTCAAATTTTTACTTGACAAACACATTAATGATCTTTGGATTAACAGTAATTTTTCTTCTATCAACATGTAATGCTGAAATTGCTTTACCTCCAATATTTGATGCCTGTCTAGAGCATCTTCATCAGGGTTGGAATCAGCTGATTGAAGAAAAATTACTATTTAATTCAAATGACAAATATTACACAGCTGATGAAGTTCTTCTCTTATATAATGACCTTATTTTAAACTGGATTAACTAAGCATTAAGGGATGGGACACATAGCAAATTGAAAGTTCCCACTCCTGTGAAGTTTCAGTTAAGATCCCCGCTTTGTACCAATAGATCCCAGAGCCAAATTGAAAGTCTGATTTTTTTTTGTAATTCAATATTAGAAAAGATAATATCAATTATTCATAACATCAGACTCAGGGTTCAAGGAGGACAATTTAAAAGAGGTCCTACAAAAAAATGACCCATCGACACTGACCGAGACTGAACAACACCAATCCAAACCCATCAGTACCCAACATGACCGGACGATACTCTGCCACGAAACCAAACCATATGTATACCAAAACATAGTAACAATAAAACTAAAAGAAAATTCTGGGAGGGGGATTGAGGGGGAGAGGGCAAAGTGGGCACATGATACAGGGACACAGAGATATAGTATCTTCACTCTGAGAAGCAGGCAGTTGAACCACTTTATTTCGGCCAGTGTCACGTCAAGTGATAACTTTAAGTGACAATCAAAACCATTAAATTTTTTCTTTCCACTTGTTCCACATATATCAATAACATTTATAGTAAAATGCCCATGGTCTACTTTGTGTATCAAACAATTTCAGAGCTGCCAGTGTTCCTTTCATACTTATCTGTTAAAACAGGCAAGAATGTTGAAATCGGCATCTTATCTAGACCACCTAGTCTGAAATATACAGGTGAAGTTCAGGTGAAAATGATATTTTTTAAATCTGCCTTTAATATAATATTCCTAATGATGGGGACTTCAGTTTCACCCACACTAGGCATAGCCTATCACTTTGATCAATTTATGAATCTTAAAACCACATGTTAAAACAATTACTTTCTAAGGCTGTATTCCCAGAGCTTTTAGATTGATCTATCCCCGCGGGGAGTCTCACTAGATTACTGTCAGATAATCTGGCTTAAATGTCCGTCCCGCCTACTACAAGCTGTAAGGGGGTAATTAACTTTCGTGTCCACTCGGCTGACAGCTATTTAGCGTGAAACCCCAGGGAGTTAGGTCGATCTAAAGTAGATCGATCTACTCTCTGGAAATGGGGTCTTAGTTAGAATAACACTTCTTATATTATATAAATAGTCTATAAATAATAAAAACAGCATGACATATACCCGTATATGTATATTTCATCAGTCATTGAAATTTTTTCACAGTATTTTCCTTTCATCTTGATAGACTACAATAATGTGGTGTTCTTTATAGTTGTTTTGTGGTTTTTAGATTCACTGACGAAGTATAGGCCCATACCTCTCAGCCTTAAACACAATACACTACTGTCACCTACTGTAATAACATTATGCTTTAAAAAACTGTTCACTTTTCATTACATTGTTGCCAATTACAGTTAATCAGTTCACCAAATCCCCACTACTGACAGCACAGTTTCACGCTGCCACAGATTACATTTTCACATTGATCTCAGCAGTTAATACTGTCTCTAGATCTTGCATGATCAGTCAATAAACAGAATAAATAAATAAACAGACAGTAGTGCAAGAGGCAGACAAATGACTTAAACAGACCAAGTACCTACCACAGACTCTTGACACAAGACAAACTGTACAAACTCTGTCTACAGACTGATGCTGACACAAAAATGTGTGTAAAAAATATAAATATTAGGGTTTATGACTGAGTACTTGGAAATGTCAGGTCTTGTAAGGTCCGGTCTTAACCGGTTGCTGCTTGGTCGGTCCGTTTGGCCAGTGTAAAGTAGGGCATTTTTATATCCCACTTGTTTTTTCTATTAATTTAAATTTTACCAGGCAGTACAGTAGTACTGGTATTATACACAGGATAACTGGATGAAGCGTCCACATTTGATCTGCGCCCCATCAAGAGCACTGGTTTAATGTATGTCTGCCTGTTCTGCATGTATATTGTATGAGCTCTTATTCGACACTGACCCTGTAACAACGTAAACACACGAGCTACTGTACGATTATGCGGATCACGCAACGCACAGTGTCACTACGTGCCGAATGCCTGTTACGCGGCACTGCCACCTGTGATAGGTTTCAGATAACGGACGCTTCTGATAAATCCCGACTGGCTTTAACCGGCCAAGCCATATAAATAATTACAATGGTACATACCGTGACCCAGTACAGCAGAATCAGTTATCACCTGACACTTCTCGAAATGATAAACGTGTCAATACCTGTTAGCTACTTCACGTGGTTTGGCTTTGTTTTCGATCTGTCGGTTTCATACCTCCGCGTAGTGAAGAGCTACTTCCGGGATAAACAAACTTCTCTGATAAAATGTAGATTTCTTTCTTAAGTTTCTTGCCTTGATAAAGCATGACATGCTACTCTAAATAAGGTGGTGTTTAGTAAATTGAGTTGTAGTGTACAGCTGTAAGAATTGCTAGAAAAATATTTTGATTTGGTCAAATTTAGAAGAAAAACGGGTACAAGTTCCACGGTGGAACGTGTGACACTGCTTGAAATGAACATGGCATGACGTCAGCTTTGATTTGTTGATAATTTACGTACATATTAACAGGAAGGTTAACAAAATTATTCAAGTTTTGGAGACAGTAGTAATCCTTGCTGGCTGCTCGCAGGAGGAGAGCAATCTATACATGTACTATAGTAAGTTGCATGCATTCGTATTAAGTATCATTCAGGATTTTTGAATACATGTAACTCACTGAAGACTATCTTTAATTTCAGCATGGAAAACATTCTTTAGTTCCTTTATTTGTATTTTTATAACGTGTAGAGTAGAGATCAAAAACCATAAATGATTTAAAAATGGGGAAAAAACTTTTGACTCTAAGTTTTAAACTATTACTAGCAACTCTTAAAAAGTTAAGTGAAAAATACTATCAGAATCGGTTTCAAAACCTTTAAACAAAGTAGTTTACCTAACATTTATCTGTATTGCGTATTTATTTTTAGGTTTAAAGCCTGTGCTTATATTGACCATGTGGAACACTCTACATAAGTACAGATCCAATCTTATATTATGTATCAGGATTTCATGCTTCTTAGGGTTCCTGGCGACTTCTCTTGTGATATCATGGTCTTCTTTGACTGCATTTGTGGCATTGTTAGGTACGTGTGTATACATGCATATTCACCACATGCTAAATAACTGTCAATTGGAAAATTTTAATAGGACCATGATTGCAAAAATTGAAAATTTAAAACTTGGAGCATGTCTAAAAGCTGGTCTACTATGTATTTTAATTGTTTAAAAAAGGCTTGGGGAACATAGAGAAATAAGTTTAACATACTCAGCAAAAATGAATTATTCTAATTTCTTTTTGAATTAGCTCATTTGCTGTGCCAAACCAAAAACCTATTTTTATTTTATTTTAATTTGTTTCAGTTTCACTTTATGCATTAAAAGACGATGAAAATAAAAGAGATGCAATACCGAAGTTCAATAGGAATCCTTTGAAAGGCAAGCCACAAATCAGTGTTGGTGACCTTCCAAGAAAGGTCATTGACCTTATGGAGCACAAGGTCACTGAACTTGTGACCTATGATGCAGAGGACGTTGACTCTTTAGCAAATTTTGAGACTCTGAAAATGAACACAGAATGCATATTTGCAAAGAAGGCACGGTTATGGGGTTCTCCGAAATGGAATTATGATTTAAGTATAGGTATGTACATATAAAGGCATGTGTTAAGATGAATCAATTAAGGAATGGAGTATTAAATCACAATAAAGTTTATTAACTTATAATGAGAATTTAGCCAATTAATTAGATGATTAATAATAATTGATAATAATGAGATTTGAGTTGCATTGGCAGAGGTCTTAGAGTGCTTTTCCAGTTTCTCATATTTTACTAGTTTCATTTAGCACTCAACAATAGTATGTCATCTTCACAATTCTTTAATTAATTTATTTGTCAATTAATAAATTTATTTATTTATTTATTTCAGAACACAATATATATCAAAGTGTGCCAACCTTCCTCAAGTTTACATGTGTATGTGAACCTCTTGGTCTGGATGGTTTTGTCTATGAACTTCCAGGTGACTATGGCAAGGATGTCCAGGTATGTACGGTAATGTATCATGAATTCTGTACAGAAGAAATTAAATAAAATAACATAATGATCCTTTTTGTTATAATTCATGAAATGGGAGGTGCTCAGAACATCCAGATGTTTTGAATTTAGGAAATTCTGTCAGTGTGGACCCTAAAGGCTTACTGTATAAGATGTTTTGTTTTGTTTTGTTTTTTTTTTTTTAATCTTATCTTTTTATTAGTATTTTTCCAGTTCTTTGGAGCCATGCAGGAAAATTGTTTAATCTTCAGACACAATTAGTTAAATGGTTAAAAAATTAATATACCACTGAAGAAAAGTAGGATTTCAATACATCATCATTATTATAATCATTATTATTGGGGTTACATCATTTAAATCAATTCTTTCTTCCTCATTATTTCCAGACATTTGGACAAGCTGTGCATAGGGTTTTGACAACAATATCGGACCATGATCCTTCTGGCGTGCATTGCATGAAGCAGTCCTTTATCGCCAAAAGAGGATGGGTGTTTCAGTTCAACAAAATCACTTTCTTTGTGACGACGTTTGCACCCTGCTACCCAGATAACCACTCAAGATATGCTTTTGACTCTGATCATGCCTATATACTTTTACAACCAGAAATTTCATTTGCTCAGCACGATCTTCCCTCAGATACCCCTGTGACTAATTGGGACAACCCTAAGACAGTTCGTGACAGGATAAGGGTTGCCTTTAGAGATGCAGGGAGGGAGTATAAGATTAGAGATACTATTTATTTCCCCACTGTTTTAGAAATTGTCAAACCTATAGAAAGTAATGGGCCAGATGTTAAATGGTGGATTTCTGACAAAAAGAATGATTGATAGCACAAATAAACATTTAATTTTGATGCAGTTGGATTGGACACCAAAATTTCTAGGTACTTTGTGCTGCTACAGTTCAAGCAAATAAGCATTAAGGCCACTTCTTATATAACCAACAAGCTTTGACCTCTCCCCACAGAGGTTGTTCATTCATTACCTCTGTTAATTAGAGGGAACATTTTTATTGGTGTGGCTTTTTCTGTTCAGTTGTTAGTGGACAAGATAGACCTTTCTCAAAGAGTCCTTTACAAAATTCCAATGAGATTTAGAGGATATTATATATTTTGAAAAGAATTTTTCATGGAGTTTTTCCATGCCAGAAGTCTGCACTCTCGGAATACCCTCTGTTTATTAATGAGCATAATAGCTGGTATATGTCATGCATCCTCTCATTTCCAGCACAAATCCTTGATCAGGTCAAGTCAAAAGATCCAATAGTATTCAATGTGCAGCAATATTGAGCTGGCATCTATTAAAGGTGCATCTCCCCCCTCCCCCCCCCCCCTCCCAAAAAATTACTTTTAATATCACCTCCAATATTTCTGTCTGTGATATCATCTTCATCAAGAAACGAGTTTATCCAGGTTAATAGGCTCTATTCTGGAGATGTCCCCACCCGACCCTCTCCCTCCCATCTAGTGTCTAAATGATAAGTACATATCCAGAATCTTTCATATCCGAGTCACAAAACATGAAATGGGTTCAGATAAAATAACACTTTATTATGAAGTTCACCTTACAAACACCATGGCATAATTATGAAAGCAGAAGTCTTCCAGAGTTGACAACAAAGCTTGATAAAAAAAAGCAGTGAACAAAATAAATAAATGTGATTTTTTTATACTAGATTCTCACAATAATTTTATTAACTAAAGGTGATTGGGTACCACAGCTAAAGCTATCCATATTTTTCCAAGATGTTTAACTCTGAAGCTGTTGTTGCCCCTTTCATAAAGAAAATAATTTGTTTTTTAAGAGATGTGAAAATCTGACGCTGTAATTAGTTCTCCTTACATTTGAATATATTAAAGCAGTTGCTCTGTATATGTCTTCATCTTCTGTCTGTAGATCTATTATATTTAATTTAGCTAAGTTGTCAACACCTGCTGAAGCTCTGAAAGTAGCACCTGATAGCTTCATATATAATGATTTAAATACATATAAATGTATATGAATACAACAAATGCAGACTACCTCCCAGTAATGAAAAATACAAAAGACGTGCAAATCTGTTGACTGTGACTTTGATGATTACCACTACAGGCAGCACTGTGCAATGAATGACAGTGTTTGGTGTGACTGAAAAAATCACCACTGGGGGCAGCACTGCATAACTAAACCATTCTAAGGAGATCAACTGCTCAGCAGTTGGGGGACACAATACTGCTCTCGCGCTAACATGTAAAATTGCAGCCAGCGGCTTCAAATTATCCAAAGAATAACATAATGAGTCTTTCACCGAACTGACATTTTTAGTCTTCATACAAAACACCAACTTAACCCAATAAATTCTAGCTGTAGTCCAGTAAAGCATTGTGTGCCCTTATGTAAGATATAAATGTGTCTTATGTACATACTGTGATAGGATATCTAAATAAAATTGTGGAAAATATTGTCTAAATGTGACCACACCTTATTGCTATAATATGACAGTAATGCAAGCCATGACTATACAAAGCTGCCGTGAATCCCAGATTATATGGAAAAGGATTCCATTTTGACTGAACTTTCTTCATTGACATTTCAGTGTCAAATACACCTAAAAATCCTGCAAACATGGTAAAATCACTGTTGTGCAACAGACTGCCCTCTGGCAGAACTTAATAGAAATGAAAATAACAAAAATATTATCCATGGATAAATTCTGTCTGCCATTATTTCTGACCCCACTTTTCCCAATCCTGCAAAATCTCTATTGATATTTCTATATTATTTTCCCATACTAGGCTAAAAAAGATTGCATAATGTAGTTCCTGCCTAATACACTTTTACCTTACTACTGTTTCTGTAAGAGGTAGGGTTGCTTTTCACTATCCAGGAGCTTTACTGGTACATATTTCATTACAAATTTTATAGCTACCTAATTCATTGTACATATGGCATAGAATTTATCTGCACCCATCACAAGCCTAGAGTAAACTAGGAGCCATCAAGCAAATTAGTTTGGCAAGTCCTATATTCTACATGAGCAACTGAGAAGCAGAAAAAAATTCACTTCTATATATATATATATATATATGCATAAGGGTGTGTGTGTGTATGTGTTAAAGCACGATACTTGAAAATTAAATCAATTGAAAGGATTATAATCATATTTATGCAAATGTGTTTAATATACAATGATGGTTTATCAGGTATAAACAAACTGTGCACTGACTCTTTCAAATAGGCTAGACTTTTTTTTTTATTTTAATATCAAAAATTACCAAACTCATTGAATAATCGGATAACAACCATTTTCCTTTAGTTAAGTATAGACATGAGTCTGTGTGCTAATAATCACCCCCACCCCCCTTCCCATTTAATGTTTTTTTAGACCCTGGTTTCTCCTTCACTACTTGTTTGCCATTTAAGCCAATACCATGTCCATAATATGTAACTGTGATCCTTCACTCTAAAATTTGAACAATTTCTCCTTTGACTAAATAAATAAATAAATTTGTCATTTATTTCATACAAATTCTCTTTCCCAATTTCGTTCAGTATAAGTGCCAATGCAGACTGCATATCTTTCCAATACAATACTGACTAGACAAAATAAGTCACTGGGTTTGATACATTATTGAATATACTCTGCCTTATGCCTTATCCTAAAACATTTTTTTCAAATGAACAACAAGAATGAAGCAAATCAACAATTTCAGGCAGCAGAAACCTGAAGTTATTTTAAGGACTGAACATTCACGAAATGTTCTCAACTGAAGAGGAAAAATCTGAAAATATCCAAAGTATAATTGCAGTTTAACATTATTTGATATAAAATCCAGCACATTTGCAAAGTAATCTTTTCCATATAAAAAGGAGAAAACCATCTTCAATAAAAGGAAAACTCCCACCTCTGCTAATAATATACTTGCAATGATAAATATTTTTACCTTATGTTTTATCATGAAGTTATCATAAGAAATGTCCCCTGTGCAATACCCCCCTCCCCCCACCCCCAATTTTAAAAAATCGATCCCTAAAGCACTACATTTTATCCAAACATTCAATCTAATAATAATGCTTGCTTCACTAATACTTAGCAAATAAATATTTCGCTAATAATAAATATGGCACAATTTCAAATCTGCATCATAGTAATATCCTCTCCTACAGCAACTTCTCCCCCCCCCCTCCCCTTGAGTTTCAGAGCATAGAAACTAACTCTCTTGCTGTCATCAAAGCGTTGTAACTGATCACTATGAAGGGTTTCCACCGAACATATGCAATCAGTTTTATCTGCAGAAGTTTAAAACAAGTTAACTAAATACTTTGAAAGATGAAATGCTACTTAATCATTCATCTCACTACACTAAAACTAGTATTTTCATGATTCAGGCAATACACAACATTTCCCTTTAATAAACCATCTGTATTCTTATTACAGACAGCCCAGTAGGTTGTCAGTTATCCCTGTGTAACTTCTGGTACGTCTTGCACAAAAGAACTTAAGCCCAAAAATAGGTTTAGTTTTAGACCAATATCTTAGTCAGAGTTTATGGGTACTTTGACTGACTGCAGAAAGCTTCACACCGAGATAGGTCAACCTAGTTATCAGATTGAAAACACGCCAACTATGTCATATTTCAACAGCAATAATAGGCCTTAACTACTTTTAAGAAAGAGTTTTGTTAAAACAGTTTTAAATCCCGCCCTTTACTCCATTTGACATCACAGTTAGTTTGCACAATAAGAATGCTCAAATTTCACCGAGCAATATTAGCTACGAGTAAGATCTTCTAAAAATTGTAAATTGTAAGAACTGTCTAAAAATCTCAAAAATTTTCTTGGTCTTACCTGGTTAAGACAAAGGCCTTAAAAAATAATAATAAAAAGCTTCTTTTGTGTTTTTCATAGCAAAGAATTTGAATGTTATGAAAAAAAATCTCAGGCAGATAGAACTAACTTATGCAACATCCACAGTATGGAGCAATTGCTGTGACCATACAAGAACATAACGATCATTTTCGCACCCTATAGTGCACAAAAAAGAAACCTCAGTTTTTAAAAAAACGTACCTTTCACAGTGTTCATTTCTCTGAAAAATATAGACACATGTGTCACACTTCAACAGACCTGCGTCCACTCTATCTCATGTACAGTTATCTATAAAACTGGCCTCAAATCACGGAGATCATGGACAGATTTTGGCCACCGGTCATCTACACATCCTATATAAAACTAAATTATGCCCTAGTAAGGACCAGTTAAAAATAAATAATAAAAATTCATAAATACCGACTTAAATCATGGTTACAGACAGTTTCACACAAGAAGTAGCTGTGCCTTAATATGACCTCATCGGAAATCTGTCATGACCAATATTTTAAAAACTGGCTTAAATCTATAAAAGCAGAGGATACATATAAATAAGTATGCTGAACTCATGTGACAAATTAGTGTTCAACCAGGATGTCCAGGACATCTCAGACAACTTGACCAAGTTAAATGTCAGTGGTCAGTAATGATAAACTGGACATCCATCCATGCACATGACAATATCTGACCAAACTATAACTCAGTGGTCAGTAATAACATACAGGACAAACTTGACAGCCATCCAGGCAGATGACAATATCTGACCAAACTATAACTCAGTGGTCGGTAATAACATACAGGACAAACTTGACAGCCATCCAGGCAGATGACAATATCCGACCAGACCAAATAAGAACTCAGCGGTCAGTTATAATTCAGTTGTCATCTTGGAAGTCATGGCCTGTATCTGAAGAGCATTGCAGTTCTTGCATAGGAGGTGATCATCCAGAGGGTAACAGCCGCGTCCTTCAGCCTCCGAGGACAGGATCAGTCCACAGTCCTGAGGGGAAAAAAAACAAGGCAGCAAAGCTGTCATATGTACGGTCAAAAAGCAGAAAATAAAGATGCAAAAAATAAGTCATTTTGTCAATTTTCATGCAATAATATATGAGACAGGTCGGGACTAAATTTGAGTACTAAGTTTTAATCTACACCTTTAGGAGTAAAATTTGCTAGTCTTGTTACCAAAGTGACTTAAAAATTGGAAACACAGAACTTGAAAATATATCTATATTTGTTAATGGTTTTGGACCTGGTGTACCATGGCGATTCAGCAATTGTAATTTAAAGGAATAATTCCCCTGTGGTAACCTGAAAAGTTGTGGAATAAGTCACCAGTCTTACCTCACATCTGTAGCAGTTGACATGAAAGCTTTTGTCCATGGCGACAATACGGACCGTCTCCTCCTGGCCGTTGTCCGGCATTATAGGCTGCTGGCACACGCAGCAACGAGGGGCAAATTTTCTGAAACGAGAACAAGTTTCGCTACTGCAAAAATGAAAAATCACAACAGGTGAAATATCACAGCTAAGTCGCAACACAGTAAGCACCAAAGTACGCGGAAAGTTTTCTCAACTAACACATTTTGGCCAGTAACTACCTGTGGAAGTCCTCAATACAGTGTATCTGATTGGTGGCATCTACAGTGAAAGGAATGCCGTCCAGACTCTTATTGCACACCACACACGTGAAGCACTCGGGATGGTAAGGCTTCCCTGTGGCCCGGAGGATCTGGAATATGAGTTGAAATACTCAATTGATGACATATCACAAAAGATGTGAAGAACTCCCAATTTGATTTTACTCATTTTTAACTCATTTTTTTTTTATAGACAAGCTTCCCGTGTCACATTGCAATGGATTATGCAAGTCAAGAAGTCACATACAGGTATCCAATATCATTTTGGTAGAAAATGATATTTCATGTAAAAATATGAATAAAAAATGTTAGAAAGGTAAATTCTGAGAATTAAATCTGATCAATGTATTATTGATTTATGTCAATTTCATTCTTATTTCTTTATAATTCTTTGGTGATTCATCTATCTAAATAATGTTTAAGGAAGATCAAAAAGACAACACTTACCCTGTGTGTAATTGCTTTTGAACAAACTGAACATTTCTCTAAGGTGTTCTGAAATTCAGATTATGATAAATAAATGTTTCATAAACAGTGTCCTGGATCACTGTGTAAACTTTTAGCTCTTAACTTAAAGCTTTACATCATCTTTTCCAATCTTTTCTTTTTTTCCCTACTTTATCTTATTTCCAAATGTTCTAAACATCTCTTTGATCCAAACAATTAAAGAAAGGGATCACTTTTGCTACAATCCTATCAGAATGCAGCTTTACAGTAATGTTTCAACGTACCATGTAACATCCTTCACAATAAGGCTTGGCCTCCATTGCATAGAAAGGTTGACCCCTAAGTTTGGCTCCTAAAAATAACATGAGATTGTTCTCAGTGCAACAATATTTATGTTAAAATGACAAGAATTGATATTACTTTGAAAAGTCACTCACTGATTAAAATTATATATTACATATATGTATAACACAAGTAGTTAAGAGGGCCTGCAAAATGTACTGAAACATTTTACTGCTCAATAAATTATTATTATTATTATAAATTCAAGTACTAGTACTTTTTAAGGACAAATGTGATGGAAAATAAGCCCTTTCAATGCTAAAAGCAATTTCAAGTACTTTTCAAAGCCACAAACTGAATTCAAGATGGAGGGCTGAATTCAGGCACTTTCCAAGGCTATGTGAACCCTGCTTACCACAGGTGACGCAGGTGATCTGAACTCACTTACCACAGGTGGCGCAGGTGATCTGAACTCACTTACCACAGGTGGCGCAGATGATCTGAACTCACTTACCACAGGTGGCGCAGGTGATCTGAACTCACTTACCACAGGTGGCGCAGGTGATCTGAACTCACTTACCACAGGTGACGCAGGTGATCTGAACTCACTTACCACAGGTGGCGCAGGTGATCTGAACTCACTTACCACAGGTGACGCAGGTGATCTGAATTCACTTACCACAGGTGGCGCAGGTGAAGCACCCAATATGAAAGACCTGCTCCATCGCAGTGCAGCCGTTATCAGCACCACTGACCTTCTCCTTACATTTGGCACACATTCCTGGAACAAGATACAGAAATTAACACCAATTCCTCCCTCAACAAAAGAGATCATTTTTTATAAACTCTGGTATGTTTTATGTGAAGGACATGATAAAAAATTTATTTGTTTTTTTGTGGTGCATTTGGGTCTAGCATGTATTGCATAAGAAATACTGTTTCACTGGATTTGTAAAAGTAATACTGAGAAATTATTCACGATACTTAGATCCTCACATCTTTGAATTCCTATTCATTTGATGGTTTTGCCTAGACCTCATATACATTTGTCAACAGCTGAAAATTGTCTGGGAATTTTTACTCACTGTATGACATAACGCAGGTGAGTATCTCTCCTGGGGTTATTCAAAATGAAATTGTATAACTCAAAGACTTTAAGAAATATTTACTCTATAGCTGCTGCTATTCTAAAAATGTTACATCTCTCTCTCTTTTTACTAGCTACCAATAAAGTACCCAAAAAGCAATCACCAAAAAAATCTGGATCTGACGAAGCCTCCATGCTCTTGACTAACAAATTGGTCAAAGCATCAACTTCTGCCTCGCTCCCCGTCTTTGCTGGTTCAGCTCTCAGCGGCTGTGAATAATTACTGCCACCAGGGTGCGCTGGCGGAGGTGGATCTGAAGCGTAGTGGTCCTCGTAACTCTGGGGGGTAGACCTACGATAACAAATGAAAATTGAGCTTATTTGTATGTCCAATTTCAACATCACTATAACTATCACTGAAAATAAGAATGGCACTATTGGTCTAAATCATTACCTATTTTTTTTTTTCATAAATTGGGCAAAATATTTCAAGTGGCCTACTAAGACTACTCTCTAACAGAGGAGAGCTGAGTGTTGACTTTAGGTTTTTACAAAAATTCTTGCTCAATCTCAGATTCTGAACAGATTTGTGCACAGACATAGCCAGAATAACATCTAGTAAAAAATCAATCTGCAACCCTGGTAGAGGGGAGACTACAACAGATTAGTCTTGAGTCAAAATAGGCTTAAATTTAAGTTTAGATCAAACTTTGGGACAAAAATTCTTTTGTGTAAAAGGCCACTGAAGACACTTTGCAAAGCACAACTCAACTGGCTAAGTTTCTAAGCAGTCTAAGTTTAGACTGACCCACACTCTAGACCATTTTCATGACACTGACTTACCAGTCCTGCCCTTGCTGCTTGAATGATACTGTATAGAAAATTTTCAACAGCTTCTGTATCAAACACAACTAAAAATCAATGTGTCATGTTGCCCTGATCATATTCAGATTCCAAGTAAAACACAGCTGCCGCTACATCTAATTATCCTTAGCTGGGGCCAATCAGTGTCCAGGTTAATTATCCATAGCTGGGGCCAATCTGTGTCCAGTTTTATTATCCACGGCAGGGGAAAATCAGGGATCAGTTTTACAAAAGGACTTGCAATGAAACCAGTTTAAACTTTATTAGTACTAAATACTCTGCACTACTGTATATAAATGTACATCTAATATTTGGATGTAGCAGTCCACTTTTCAACTTACTGAGAATAGTATCTTTTAATTTTAATTAATTAATTAATCTATTTATTTATTTATTTATTTATAACTACATATTTATCCTGATATAAACCAAAATGGAGTCAAGGGGCCCTGACCATGGATACAGCAAAAAATACAAAGAAATTTAGCCGAGCTAAACATTTGCAAAGTACGCCATGCCTTAAAAAAGATTAGCAAGTTTTTTTTTTTTTTACAAAACAAGAGGTGACCAATGCATTTTCTCCTATAATAATAAGAACAAGAAGAAGAAATGTACTATCAGTTTGAACTGTAAGTGAAAACCATACACTTGATTATATTCAATAATAATAATAATAATAATAATAATAATAATAACATCGTACCTATATGAGCTGTAGGAGGAAGCAGGGTAACTGGGGGACACAGACCCAGAGCTGAAAGGACTTCTGCCATCTAAAACTGGGCCTGCTGCTCCTGTAGATAAACACAGAAAAAAATCTTTACAATGAATGTGATACCAAAATACTATATGGTGATTTCCATAAACCAAACATATAATCTGAGAATCTTAAAAAGTGAAGAGAACCCCTCAATCCCCCTTAGGCCAGTCATAGCATGTGAGGCTGCTAAAAAGGAGACCCCCTCCCTCCCCTTAATTTATCTAATCAAGCACGCCATATTGGAGAGAGAGGAACAGATGGAGAGGGCACAAGAAATACAAGGATTTATAAGCTAATTCCCACACAGAGACATGAGCTTTGTATCACCACAACCACTGCAAAGCCATGCAACATGTAATTATGTACGCCGTGCATTCAAAATTCATAATTCTTAGCAAGATGTACAAACTGAAACTGCAAGACTTGCCCTTTAAAACCAGACAGATAAAAATCACATATACAAATGCATGTATAAGCTGAAATCAGTTCAAGACAGAAAGCAGTATAAATCGCCCTTCAACACAGTGTCAAAATAAATCATTTTACTTTAAATATTAGGAGGGAAGATTCACAAGGAAAAAAATTTAATTGCTTATTCAACCTGACAACAAACAATGCACATTGGCAAACATGCAATATAAACAATGAAAATATCTTCTAAAAGGCTGTTCGGCATCTCAATCAATCCTTTAAAATCAACAAAAATAATTTTCAAGCAATATAAAATCAAGAAAAGACTCATTTGTCACACCTGCGTATGTGCTAGATGCGGTGTACGTAGGACGTGTTGTCGTCGTCTGCTGATACGAAGCAGGTTGAGGCACTGCATGCGCTTCGTAAGGTTTCTTCGTGTCATTCACGCTCTCTGTTCCACCGTAATCCTGTACGACAGGGGGCGGGGGAGGAAAATCATCCTGCGGTGTGGTTTCGTAACGTCTGTAGAACGGCTGCGGACTGGAGAAGTTGGTCTGAGGGGGAGGAGGCGGGGGAAACTCATCTTGGTATTGGTAAGATGCTGAGAAAGGGGAAAACAAGCATAAAACAAAAACAAACATAACACACGGATTGGTAAAAAAACAGTTATTTTGAAAATCTCATAAAAACAAGGTCTTGGAAAATACGTAAAAAGTCATGATTCATACATACAACAACCATGCTTTTTTCAAGCTTTACAATTACTAGTAATCAGTAACAAATTCACACAAAGCAAACCTTAAATTAAAACAAACTGATATTAAAATATCTCTTACACATTTTACACAAAAACTGTCAAGAAATCAAAGTAATACATCCATGCATGCATAAACTGAAGACTACATTTCAATTACATAAATATGCAAGCACACACACACACACGCAAATGCACACACATGCAAATGCACACACACAAACACACACACACACACACACACACACACATTCACGCACACATACATGCACACACACACAAATGCACACACAAGCACACACTTCAAAGTACACTATGCTAGTATGCACATGGGATGTCCCAAAGTCATATCTGATTTACACAACTGTTTCAGTAGTACTAGTACATTAATTACTTTTCATTTTTTTCCAAAAAAGAGAGCAGTACTCAGTACTTAAGTGTAAGCAAATATTATGTGCACAATAATGTGGGCATCACTGACAAGAAATGGCCCAGGTGCTGTAAAAAGAAACACCTTGTGCACACGACTGAACCAGGCACCCTTAACCCCTGTACTAATCTGGGCCTGTTTTCACATAGGGAACTTACGTCAAAACCAGGTCTTTTACTTTTAAGTCAAAACTCAAAGGGCATACATACAATGTGGAATAAACCTCCATATAAAAAATTGACTTTTCCTAGAAATTAAAGCCATTTCTCCTCAATAACCAACTGAATGAATACCCTAAGTGGAACTGCTGACTGAAAAAAACTGATATATGAACCATTATGAACATGATTTTCAGGTTCCAAATTTCTTATTTTTACTGTCACAAGTGAAACTGAGATAGATTTATCTCCATTGCAAGTGACTAAAAAAATGACAGGGGGTGAAAGACTAAGACAAAAGGAAAGTTTGTGGGACCAGTAAAAATCAAATGAAATTTCTCATAAATTTGTAGTCTACTGATTTCTTAACTGCTTTCTGACAATTTTTACAATTCAATTATAAGTTGGGACTAAAAAAAGCTTGTGCATGACAATGCCCAAAGAAGCTATACTGAAATGTACACACTATCAACAGATTATACATAAACCGTGTGTGCAATTACACCATACAAATATACGAATCCACACTAAAACTTGGAGTTAAATGCAATAATATATACAGAAGTTATCAGTTTGAAAAATATGTACACCATACATTCATCATGTTTCCAATGAAATGCCAGTTTCTGTCAGACCTGTATTTCATCAAATCATAACAAGAACGTGTGGAAATCATAAAAAATTAACCCTCCTCCAACCCTACTAACAAATGTTTCAGATCAGAGGGATGTTGTAAACTGCTGCAGCCTGACTTTTTCTGACGAGAGCTCTAATTCTGCTGTACTGTTTTCTAATCCTGATGTGAAGTACAATTATCAATTTATGTTTTTCCCCAGAACCCAAATTCAAGTCCGTACAACTAGTCACTACTAACATAAAAAATCTATTTGTTATTTATGGTATTACATCATTGTACTTTAAATGCCAAACCTAGAATTAAAATGTCATAAATGGTTTTCTGTCCCTTCTCCCTAGAAGTCTCTCTCTCTCTCTCTGTTTTTTAACCCTCCCACTCTTTACTCGCCTGCATGTGTGCAACCACACACACACACACACACACACACACACTCTCGTCCTCCATTCCAACCGCCACCCACTCCAATCCTCCTATCTTCCAAATTGGCCATTAATCATTCTTCATTCTGTCTTATATATCTCTATTCATCACCCTTCCACACATAAGTACAAACTACTATTCGGGTGAGAGGTCAACATTTGAGACCATTAAACAAGAAGGATGCCTCCTTTGTTACTCTTTTCTCCACCACTGAAGTGTTCTGTCACACAAGGATGCATGACAAAAAGAAATCAATTTAGATGTGTCTGGTTGTCTCCTCCTGTCTGTTTTCTTGAGCTTTAAAACATCTACGTGAGGCCCATTTCTACTCAAGTTGGGCTGGCCCAACTTATACCATACATGTACAGACTGTTTATACCCACCCTCTATATATATTTATAAATAGACATTTCTAATCACTTTCACTTTGTACAGATTGTTTATACATGCCTCCTGTGTAAACAGGCCAGGGTGATAAAATTTTTATCAAGCTTTAAATTACAGTATCCTAAGGCCCACTTCCCATGCGTCGTCCTTGCAGGGCCACTGTACTAGTAATTAAATCACAGCACAATTTAAATGGGTGAGATTCGACGCGCGGGGAGGCGTGTGAGAGGCAGAGCGATAATTACAGGATTAAGCAGTCTTCTTTTTGTGTAGATCCACCATATTTAGGTTGCGAACTAGCTAGCACTTGGCTCTTCTCGATCTGAATGGCGCCTGTGGTATACTGATGAGAACTGGGGGCAGTTAAGATATTTTTTAAGAAGGACTGCACTCCAAGGCAAGATTCTTACAGTTAGTTTCAAACTATAAAGGTTTCCGCATATTGAATTTACTCGCCAAAATAAATTTTCCTTAAGAAGAAAGCATCTTTTTTTTTACTCCCAACTCACTGCTGGACCCATCCCATCATTTAGATTGGATGTTTATTCCATTTTTTAGACACTGTTTAAGTTCTGAATGACTGGCCAACATATTCAGAAGGAACAATCAACATCAATTACTTTTATTTTAGTTTTTTTTTTATAGAAAATATGAATTTTGGGGAAATTGCCAAATGGTTAAAGTTGACCTTAAAGCTGGAACTTATTGGAACATGCTTTTACCATCATTTCTAGTACTTAATCAAAACCCATGAAAGCATTCAAAATTCTGCAGAGACTAGACATACAACAAATTAATGAGTATTATGACAGATGTCTGGCAATTTCTATTCCCAAGTGGCAATGAAAATGTCCTTGTGCTCTTTGCCAAGTACTAAAGCTGACAGGGTAATTTTGTTTTATGTTCATTTTATTTCTTGATGTCTCTCTTTCTCCCTCAATAAGACTATCTAATAGAAAAGAACCAAATGCCCTTAAAACCATTCTTTTCGTGTATTATTTCCATGAAAGTGTAAGTAGAGTACGCATTGACATGCCATATAGCAAGGGATTTTGGATTTCACTGATATTGTGCTATCCAAGCACTGTTGAAACTAGTAGGATGCTGGCAGGCAAATAATTTTTTTTTCTTGTTTACTTGCCTTTCATCCATGATTCTGTCTCTCTTTGTTTTTGTCTGGTGTGTGTGTGTGTCTGTGTGTGTGTCTGAGTGTGTGTGTCTGTCTGTGTGTGTGTGTGTGTGTGTGTGTGTGTGTGTGTGTGTGTGTGGAAGAGGGTGTTTGAAATTTGCTACCAATAACCGTACTTATGCATTACTAGTACTACATCTGCATCACCCGGCACAGAGACAGATGAACTTGGTCAACCACAAGCTGAGTCACCAACACTGAGATGTGACATGCTAGTTAGGTGAACACGTAAAATAGTTTTTGAACCAGTTCACAGGCTTCCATAAATGAACTGGCTCCAAATCGGTCTTTACTGTGAGATTTTTGTTAGATGCTTGAATTCAACTCTAAGAAAGCCTGAAGTGACATACAAAAATTTCTGCATTAAATGTAAGTTTTTCATTTTGGTTTTAAACTAGAAAAAAAAAATCAAAATTTTAATTAAAATCTTATCATTGGTTTGGTAAACTTTGGTAAAAAGCTGCAGTATGACAATCAAAATAGGCTCCAATGACCCACACATCCAGATTAAATAAGCAAGTTGTAGTCTAGTTTACTATAATTTAAAAAATGAAATACTGCACCTGTTTTATAAGAATGAAGACATGGCTAATGTTTCAGACTTCCACCTACTACTTCTTAGTAGACATCTATGGATTGAACATGAAGTTAAATTGACCAAATTTTCAGTCTTAAACTGTAGCCAAGTTTTTGCTCAAAAGTTTTGTGAAATGAGCATATAAACTGATGGCATGACACTCTTGTGCACTCATATTTTTAAACTATTAAAAAAAACACCACCACCACCCTAAAACATGGCAATATTTCTTATAAAGCAAATCAAATCAAAGATCCATTCAGCATTCATCTGCTGTGGTGGTTGATGTGAGAGTTACTCAAATAACTGAGACAATCCCGCGGTTTTTGTATCCACCGCACCATGTACACAGGAGATAAACAGTTTCAGCTATTGTCAAACTAGCTTTTGTCAAGGAGTGAAAACAGGCATAAACTGAATCCTGACCTTAGTCAACTTGGCATACAAAGCACGCCTCAGATGTTACTGTTATTTATATAAACAGTGGAGACACAGACCCAGACAGGTGGCACACACTATAGCATACAAACACACGCCCATGGTAAAAGACCTCTTTTAACGCAGCCTTCAGGCGATACGACCATTAGAGGTATGTGCACACACAAGTACTAGTACACACATGCATGTTCACACGTAACTCAGCATGTGCACACATTTGTACACACACTATCCTATGCTTGTAGAAACCTCAAAACACACACACACACATACACACACACACACACACCACATTTAGAGAGCACAGCTCTAGTTTCAAATTGACTTTTTCTTTACTTTTTTTTTGGGGAGGGGGGGCAAACTGACCAAATTCAGTAATTCTTCACTATCTGCATCAGGGTTTCTCTCTCTCTCTCTTTCTCTTTCATATATCTCTTCTCACAGAAAACAAAGGGCAACCAATCACAATCTTTCTCTCTCACCCCTCACACTAGTACCGGTTCGAAACTGCTGCGCCCTGTATTCCTGAGGCTGTGGAGACATTTGAGGACTTCGAAACTTGGGCTTTGGTGCCACGGCGGGCCCTGGCTTCTTTCCACCCCCTTGGTCAGGCACCCCTAGCTCCCGCATCAGCCGTGCCTGGGTTGTCATGGTGAGTTGCTTCTTTTAAAATCCTAAAAAAAGGTTTCAAAGAAAATGTAGGTCAAGTTACAATTAAGCTCACAAACAGACCAAGGTCTTATTTCACAAAAAAAAATAAATAAATAAATAAAGTAAAAGTAAAAATAAGTTCAGTTCTTATACTAGTACACTGCACAACACATGGTTTTAGCACAGTTTACTTTGGCTCTTAGTCATTTTTGGTACAGACTGGGCGTTGATGCTCAATCTCCCTGTGGAGTATTCAATCAGAATTATAGCACTCAATAGTAATATTAGCTAATTAACATGTCTTATTGATTATAAAACAGGCATGATATTTCATTTATTTTGACTACTTCTGACCTGATTAGGTCAAAGACAAAGTACATTAAAATTTTGGAATAAAGAGAACTATTTGCTGCTCGATATCGCTGGATACAGCCACAAAGACACAGTTGCCTACTAGTACTAGTAATGTGTATGATTACAGTGTTGTACATGAATTTAGCTTGTATTCTGCACACACGCTGACGCACGCACACACACACACACCACCACCGCCACCATTTCAACAACACTGGGTCCCCCTTTCCTGTTTAAATGATGTTATGTTGGATTTCACTAGGGATAGGGTTAAAAAGCAGACAGGGTGGACTGAAAATACTAAATGTATGTATATAACGAGAAATCAGCCAACACCCTATTCTCAATTTTAGTACCTGTATTAAAAATATCTAGCAAATATTGTTATTTATGATGAACGATATCTAATGAAATATATAGTGATACTGTTGATCTACGAAAAGAAATAAAAACACAACTAGTAACCATTTTAATATTCTGTGAATAACCTGAACAGCTTTTAATGGTTTACCTCAAACAAAGAGAGTGTGACTAGAATAGCTACTTCATGGTGACACTGACTTTTGTCATTTGACATATCAACAAAAAAACAGCCGGCTGCCGAAGTTTAACTCTCTCAGAAGTTTTACTTACAATTAAGCTGTCGTTTAAGCATACGATACAGTTTTCTGCATAAATGTACGATAAGTAGTAAGCGAGCAAATGGAAGTGCTGATCCTTACCTAAGATTACACGTCCGAGGAGTTTTTAGATCCGATCCTCTGAAACTTGAGCCTACAGACGAAGCTTAACTCCAACCAAACACTCAGGATGCTGAATATTTCTACGCAACTTCCGGAATTCGTTTTCAGTCATATGTTTTTTAATCTAAACATTTTGTAGAACCTGTAGATGAAAATTATGCTAAAAACAATAAAATACGTTTCAAAACATTTTTGTGTGTGTTAGTTATTGAAACTGTACTTAGATATATAAAGAAATATGTGGAACTCTTTATCCCAACGCAGGAAACGACGTGATAGGGTAACTTTGGAATGCTAACGATGCGAGAGAGGCTCGCCAAATTTAAGTAGTTTGCATATTGATCAAGATGTACGTAGGGTAAAGCACAACGTCCTTCTACAAAACATCTATTCTTTTGTTATTCATTTAAAAATAACGCGATGACATTTGTGTGAGGTCGAATCTACAAACTGTCAGACTTAACCTGGGCTGGAAAATATTTAGGCCAACATGACCCGTGCGTGACCTCAACTTTGACCTAGTTGTGATGCTGGAAGGGATAAAGTACTGTACTTGCACATTTCAGTTATTTTGGCACCCTTTTTAACACACTTTCCTTTGAATTTGACGTGCGTTCGTGTTAATAATTGCTTTTTATTTGGCATGGATTCTCTTGAAGAAGAAGAAGAATTATTAATCTAATTGAAAGAATCAAATATCACTTTACTTCCGGGTTATTGAAAGCATGCAGTTTGTAGTAACTTTGTTGTAAACATACCATATATGGGAATGCAGAAAATTTTTTTTTTAATTTATTTTAAGGTGTCTGACTGTGACGTATTGGCATGGGAATTCGCAGGATTAATGATGTTTACCCAACGCTGCGCGTCAGTCTAGATGCTGTCATTTAAGATCATTTAAAGGAGGGACGTAATGGTACATGTATGCATGTAGGGCGTGTAGACCTACTAATGTGGATAAATTACGTTTTTTAGTAACCTGCTGTTTATATATCAGGAGTTTGTACAAACACAAATCCATTTTACCATTGCTGCTAACTACAGGTACAAACGCAGCTTATATAACCATATTTTAATGTTTAATAATTATATATTTTGGAAGAAAAGATTTCAACCCGTCGATCCCACTGAATTATAATGAATGCTTTGATTTGTTTTACACAAAATGGGTATTGTATAGTGTACTAGGTTAAGTAATTGTAGTGGAGGCTTTTTTTTTTTTTTTTTTTTTTTTTTTTTTTTTTTTTTT